TATATATATATATATATATATATATATATATATGCAGAGTTTTGCAGAAAAGGCTAAATTTGTCCACACACTTAAGCTTTTTCAGTTTCCAAGCATCGCCTCCCAGAGAGGATATCAGATATAAACTGACACTCTCCTTCTGGTGATGTTGGCATGACTCACAGCCAACTGTCTCTTCTTTTCCACAATGTTTATATCTTGGTATGATATATGTGTAAAGTATTTGACTTTCACTCTTACATTTGGTTGTCTTTCTGCAGGCAGGCAAATGTTTCTGAGGCCTCCATTGTAAATCTGCATGGAGATGATCACCTTTGTCCCAGACTCCTCTTCAGGCCCTTTTCCCACCTGCTGTAAACAGTCCTCTTTGTGTCCGTTTCCAAGCCTCAGTCTATTTTTTTCTGGCTCCTTCATCTTTCTGTGTCTGGGTAGCTGTACAGCCAGCACCGCATCTCAGAAACCTGCCAGCCTACACCTGCAGCTGCACCCGGTCCCCATAACTTGAAATAGAATGGGACAAAAATAGAGGAGGGGAGTGAGAGGCTGCAGTGCAACGTCTTACCACCAGAGTGTGATCATTAGAAGTAGGGGCAAATCAGAAGAAAAAATAAATACATTTTAAACCCCCGTTATTATTATCATCTATAGTAGGCTTATGGACACATAAAAACTCAACTCTTGAGGATATGAAATGTAAAATGTGATGTGAAAACAGTCCTAACCCTGTGCTCACTTTGTTAGTATTTATTCTTTTTTCTGCATGTTTATTTTGGGATGAAAAAGATCTTGCTTGGCAGTATTATGTTGAAATATTAGTTTCATAAGAGCGCAGGGACTTTGTGATGAAATCTATAAATGGTTAACAGAAAAAACCCTGAAGCTAAAAGTATTCTACAATGTTTTATAGTGGAATGACCAGCTCTGTATTTGTCAATTAGAAGCGATTAATTTTCTTTCTTTGAATTAGTGGGATAATTCATTTATTAAGAATGAGGAACATTGGTGCTCCCATTCTTTCATAGTTGAATTTTTGAAGACAAGAAAACATGTGACAATGACATATTTCTATTTTTACTTTAAACAGATCTCTTATTTTATTCCACATTTCAAGTAGAGTTTAGCTTATCTTTTATTTAAAGCCTCCTGGCAGCTGATGTTTGACTATCCTCAGTGTCACCAACTGATTTAATATAAAAAGCTATCAGGGTAAAGAGTTGCATTCTGATTTATTCTATTGTTCATAACATTTGGAATTTTTAAAACCTGATAAAGAGAGAAAGAAGAAATAAAAAAGCTTTTGGTTGTCTAAATCCTGCTGACTTCTGGAAGGTTAGATATTGTATTCTCTCTTATTCTTTAAGATGCAAAATATGCATCTTTAAAAATGAATAATGTGGACCTGCAACAAAAAGAGAAAAGAAAATTAAAGGCAAAAAATATTTAGACCTCATTTTTAGAGCTTAAGGGAAGTTTGAACTATTAACTTATTGCATTCATACATGTTTACCTCATTTTTAGAAAGAATGCTGTGACAAAGAAAACATCTTGTTACAAGAACACAAATCCCTTTTAACATACGGTAGATCCTAACACCCTATTTCTGGGTGTTTTGATTCCATCCACAAAGTCTCAGTTTAGTTTCAGTATGCTACAGATTTATGCAACTATTGCAGTTTGGATTACATCAAGGTTGATAAAACAAAACTAAACTGGCAAAGCTCAGTAGTGTTTGACTAAGATTCTTCGTATCCTATCTTTTTACAGAAAAAATGTATTTTTACATCAGTATAAGTAACACCACAGTACAGTAGCTTGCGAAAATATTTGCAACCTTAGAAACTGTTCACATTTTTTTCATGGTACAACCACAAACTTTAATGTATTTCACTTGGATATTCTGATAGAGCAACACCAATAGGTTTGTATCTGGAATGAAAGGAAAATTTTACATGAGTTTCAAAAATTTAGCTAAAGAAAAACAGGGCTAAGATCTGAAAAGTGTGGGACGTATATTTTGTATAACCCCATTTACTCTGATAACCAAACATACCGCCTAGTGCAGCCAGTTGCATTTAAAACTAGTCAATTGACCACCTCTGTGTAATTTAATATGAGAACACTTGCTATAAATAATGGATCTAAACCTCAGTGAAAAAACAAAACATTATCATGGAAACCAACCAAGAGGCCAACCATGGATACAGTTTTAGAGAATTTTACAGCAGAGTTCAATTATTTTAATACTATCCCAATTTTAGAATGCATCTCAGAGCTCATTTTAGGCCATTTAAAATCTAATTGTTTTATACTTATTCTATGCTCTGCCAAGTAATGGAGCAGACACGAGGAAAAAGATGATTTAGTCTCATGAGACTAAAGCTTTTCACTTAAAGCAGTTGTCTTGCACCACATACAGTACAAAAGCATAACACCCTTTTTAGATTTTTATTATTAAGCCATTTAAAAAAAATATGTCAGAAGTATCATTTTTGGCCTCTAGTTATGACACATGTGAATAAGATCAAGGGTATGAATAATTTCTCAAGGCACTGCAATCACTTTTGTATTTTAAATGTTGAAAATCTATCTTCATTGCATCACTATATTTGTAGCAGTAACAGAAGTTAAAATATTTTTTAAGACTCTTCATGGTTTTCCTGTTTTCCATACTGGCACTTTCTCATGAAGTAAGAGCGGAAGTGTAGAGCTGAAACAGAAGAAGATGGTCTAAGAATCGTTTTAAATTAAGGTAATCAGATATCCTGTGGTGAACATTTGTTGCCATTGCATGTCCAAAGGTAGGCTTACATCATTTGCTGCACTAAAATTAGACAAACGGAAGTAAAGAAATAAACCGATTGTTTTCAATGATTCGATTTAGTTGTTACATATTTACATTGTGTATATATATCCTAAAAAACATTGCTTGCAAATTTAAGATATAGTTTCATCAGAGCATGGCAAAGTAAAAAAAAATGTAGCAACTATTTTTATACTTAAAGAATTAGTTACAAACATAGAGTATCTATTATTTGCTATATTTGTAATTATTGTTTTGCTTATTGATCATTATTTTTTTGTATGGGTTCTGAATGTGAAATATTTATTTATTTTTAGTTGTAAAGGTATTTTTCCATGAGTTTCATTCACTGTAATGATGAGAAAACCTATTTTCACCGGTTATTGAATGCATGAATGCAATTGTAATTGTGACATGTTCTTATAAAAGGTGATGACTAATCCTGTTTAACTGCCTCAGACCCAAACCAAAGGTGTGATCTTGTTTATCTTTTAAAGGGGATCTAACATATGTCCTATGTAGGATGAGGTGAACATATGAAAGAAGGGTTACTATAGGTTATCAGGAGATGACAGAGTCCTGTCTTAGTCACTGATACTTATTGCAAGATACAACATCTCATCTCTTTTCTGACCTTTGAGAATGCAGATAAGTTTTCAGATCTGTAGTGGGTGCAGTCCGAGATATCTGAGCAAATAAAGCAATAATTGAACACACTGACAAATAGCCATTGCAAACAGTCCACCCTGTCATTCTTTCTCTGGCAGCGTCCTGATCAGACAGTCAGGATCAGAGAGTCCAGGGTGATGGTCCGGTCCTGTACTGTTGAAGTGCCTGAGCATGTATGTTTGATCTCTATTTACACATTTTGGAACTTTGTTCATGTAACCCCTTAAATATAGATCCACAACTATTCACACAGGAAAACCATCAAATTTATAGGACAAACAGTATCAGCAAACATAAAGCGTATACAGCCCCTTGGAAAAGCAATCATACATTTGATCTAAGTTTTATTTTTGTTTTTTGATAAAAAAATCTGCCCTTTAATTCTGCCATAAATCGTCTCCATCAAAGTTACCTAAAAACCATCAAGGGAACGCAGCACACGTGTTGCTGTAACATTTTGGATCCCTCTGAACACCTCCACGCACTCTGGAACAAGGTGGAGGTGTCATCATTCTGTGGGAATGATAAATGACCGGAAAGATGGTCAGACGTAATGAAAAGAGAGACTGAGGTAAACTTTGGTGTCTTCTTTAATTTTTACCATGTTAAGTCTTTAAACACTCTTTTAAGCACTGGTTCAGTTTTAACAGGGTTTTCATTTAGATAAATTAAGTTCCATTGTAGATGGAACATAAAGTAAAAAAATTGCTAAAAGCACGATTAGTAGAATAGATGAGAAGCATATTCTTCCCTTGAAAGTTTAGTTGCATCCTCGAGGAATACCAACAGCTTCATCAATTGTTTCTGTCACTTGGCTGCTAAAAGATTTTGGTGTTTGTTGGACCACCGTTATGATCTTATGAGGGACAGGCGTGTTGCTCACATGGCTCTGTATTCTGTATTTTACTGATTCTCTTGATCCAATTGGATTGAATAACATTTTCAAGAACTGTAAACACACACACACA